GTTGTTGTTGTTGTTGTTGCTGCTGTTGCTGCTCATTCCGAGCAAGCACAATGAGCCGCGCCAGCACCTCAAGCTCTTGCATACTCAGCCCCAGCATGCCTCCCTGCGCCGTGTTTGGGAACTGCGCCGGGTTCACAAATTGGGAATTGGGTTCATTTATCTGTTGAGGCTGTTGGTCCATGCGCATGATGGCCGAAGGGTTAAACATGGGCGGGGTGGCGCATGGCGGAGGAAGCCCCATAAATGGCGGCTGCGACGGCGGCTGAACTCCCCATTGTGGACAAAAGGCTGGGGGCTGTTGGAGGGCTTGTTGCTGCTGCTGCTGCAGCGGAAACCGCAGCCTGTTGTTGAACGGCGGTGCAGCATTTGGGGCAAAAAGGTTGGAATACGGCGGCATGGGGGCGTCTACGCCGGCCGGGGGCAACGCGGCCCCTGCGTAGGCGAGCTGGTGGGCCAAGGGGTACATGGCCGCAGCGGCCGCTAGGGAAGGGTCTGCCGCTGCCGCGGTTGCAAAGAACTGCTGCTGTGCCAGTTGGGCGGCGTTGGCGTCGATGGGGGGAAGTCGCATGGAGCCCGCACCGCCTCTAGACCCGCGGGCTCGCGACGACCCCGCGGCAGTCGAATTTCGCTTCGATTTCGAGTGTCGCGCCTCCTCCTTCTTTTCCCGCTCCCGCTGCCGCTGCTGCTCCATGTACGCTGCGAGCTCCTCCTCCGTGAAGACGCGATGCTTCGCCACCCCCGTCGCGGAGGGCTGGTGCTGCAGCTCCGGCGCCGCCTGCCCCGCGCCACCGCCGGCGTCGTCTCCGGCGCGCGGCTGCGGCGCGCCCTCCGCGTCCGGGGCGCCGGGGGCGTTTTCCGTCGCACCCTCGTCGGCAGCCCCCTCCGCAGCGGCCTTATCGTCTGCCGCGGCGGGCGCGGCGTCCGGGGGCGGCTCTGGCGCCGTCTCGCCTGCGCCGGCCCCAACAGCCTCCTCCCGCGTTTCCTTTTCCTCCCCCTTCTGCCGCTCCCCCGTTGCCGTTGCCGCTGCCACTGCCGCTGTCGCGACGTCGCCAGTCCCCTCACGGCTGCCTGGCGGCTCCGCCGCGCTGCGCGGCGTGCGAAGCGCGGGAGCGGACTGCTGCGACTCCTCCTCCACCCTGAGAACCTGCGCGGTGCCGCCTTGACTGTTGTCAGTGCCGTCTGTTGGCACCACCTGCGCCTCGTTCTCCGACGGCGGCGCGCCCTGCATCTTCGTCAACACTGCGGGGGCAAACAGAACGCCTCCGTCCCCTGGTTTTCCTCTTCGCCGGCTGAACTCCCCCCTGCACCCGCGTTTTGCTTGTGGCTCTCTCTGTGCGCTGCAGTTCGCAGTTTGTGTTGCTCTACTTGCGGCGCGGTAGAAACGAAATGTGCCCTTCTCTCAACTTTCTCCTCTCGCCGTGTGCTTCAGCAAAGATTGGTGGACTCTCCAGACAGACAAAGAGCGAGGGCAGAAGAATCACGTGGACTATTGCGACCTCCACATCCACACACAAACAGAGGCAGACAGAGGCAGCAACGGCGACAGAAGAAGGTGGTAAGAGGGGGCGCAAGAGTTTACAAAATGCACAAACGCACCTGTCCCCCCCTCCCCTTTGCTGCGCTGCGAGCCCGCATGCACAAAGGCGGAGAAAAAGAGAGGGTTATGCATTCGTATTTTTAAACGAATAGGCACACTAATTGCTCTGGAGATGCGCCTGCGAAGCAAAACCAAGAGCACGGGACTCTTGACAAGGGAAGCGTGTTAGGCGCGGATCGCGCGGAGGGCGCGCAGCGCCGCTTCAGCCGCGGCATTCTCCGCATCCTTTCGGGTTGTGCACCACTGCGCTCCCTTAAACACCGCGGCACCGCCCTTTTTGTTGAGCAGCGGAAGCTCCACTGTTGCCAGGTACGTGCGGGGCCCTTTGCGGCCCTTGCGACCGCCCTGCGCCTCCAGCTGCTGCTCCTCCACCGTGAAGATGACCGACTTCTGCACGGGCGTGTGCGGCCACCGTTCGGCACACTCCTCCCTGAGCAAGTCGCTCATGTACTTCTTCTCCCGCAGCCCCTCCCGCGTCTTGCGGGCCTCTGCGGTGGGGCCAACTATGATGTTGCTGCTGGGGTGCGGCTTCCGCATCAGGGTCGGCGGCAGGGCGGCAGCGGCAGCCGCTGCCGTCGCAGTTCCCGCAGAAGTCCCCACCGCCACCGCCGTCGTCGTCGTCGGGCCGCCGGCCCCGTTTGCGCCGCCACTCGCCGTGTCGTTAACATTCGCGTTGTTTTTTTTAATGTCGCGCCGCGCGAGTCCGGTGAGGCTGCCATCGGTGCGCTGCACCGCCTTGTGCTCCTCCAGCAGCTCCTTCACAGCCACCCAGGCGAAGCGCAGCTGGTCCAACTGCAGGTAGGTGCAGCAGCGCAGCAGCCGCCTCTCCTCGTAGCGGCAGAGAAAGTGCCCCCCGCCCTTGTCCTCCTGCAGCGGCGAGAAGTACTTGTCAGGGGCCTCCACAAGCGCGCGGGTGATGCTGCGCGGCCCCCGCGGCGTGGGGAAGCGGAAGGCCTGCACCGTGTAGAGGATTGCGCCGTTGGGAATCACCCTGCTTTCGCGGGTGAAGAAGGGCTCAAAGTACGGCAGCAGCCGCCTCGCCTCTCGCACCTCCGCCGTCGCCTCCTCCCCCCCCATCTCCCTCCGTGCCGCCACGCAGTGCTGCCTCGCCGGACCGGCTGAGGTGCCGCGGCAGCCATCCGGCCAATTGGAACACCGGCAGTAGCCACTGCAGCGCGGTGAAGATGCCGACTGCGGGCGCCGCCGCCCCCTCCTCCCCCTCCTGCCGCGTGAAGACGACGGGGTACTGGATGGGGTTTGCCGGGGGCACCGGGGCATCTGCCGGCATCGCTTTCCCTCTTCTGCTCTCTCTCTCTCTCTCTCTCTGTGTTTTTTTTGTCCGCCACGTTCTTTTCCTTCTACGTCTTCTTCCGCGGCACGCCCTTTTCCCCGCTCGCCATGAATCCCCAAAGCAGGCAGGAGGGAGGGGGGGGGAGGGCAAAGAGCGGCGTTGAGCTCGCACACACACACACACAGAGAACCAGAGAGCGCAGGAGGGGGGGGGGGGGGACGTGCGGAAGGGGCAGCGGCGGCTCACGCCCCTCGCCGGTCGCCCCGCACACTCCCACGAGCAAAGAAGGGAACTACAAACGATGCCAATGCGCAAGAGTCACACGCACGCAAGCACCGGGGAAAAAAAAGACACAGACAAGCCAACAAAAGTAACGGTCATCGGGCACCGAGATCCAAGGCATGCCGTAAAGCTCCACTTAGTTTGAGCGCCACCGCGGTTTACCCTTCTGCTTACGGGGCATTACAGCACCATCCCATCACCAAAATAACATCATCAATGCAGGGGAGAGAGAGAGTGAGAGATAGAGAGAGAGACACCATGTTCGGCGTCGATATCGTTTTTTTTCCCCAACGCCGTCACGCACACACACATACGCTCGCTGACGGCGTGGAAGGGTGATTGCGGGGGTTATATACAAATACTCATAGAAACGCACACACGCACAAGTACGCACACAGGCAGCTGCATCCATTGCGCGGCGCTGGCGCCGGAACTTGCCTTCCCTACCACCAAATGCCTCGCAGAGAGAGAAAATATGATGGGCATTTTTTAGAGTGCCTTCTGGTTTACCATTTGAAATCGCGTTGCGGCCCTTGCCGTGTGCCAAAGGCAAGGTGCGCGGTTAGCCGGCTCCCTTTGCCTCCACGCCACACCTAGATGTAAGTCTGGGTCGGGTCGCCGCCTCACATCCTCTCTCTCCCCTCCCTCCCCTGCCGTCTCACGCAAAGAGCTCCATCACGCTGGCAGTCCCATCCTCGTCCTCCGTCGGAACGAAAACCAGGCAGAGAAGGAAAAGCGAGAAAATCGACAGTGCGGGGATGCAAACGGCGCGGAGGATGTCAACCGAGTCCTCGATCATCCCCCAAAAGAGTTGTGCTGTCGTTGCGACGGTGCTTACGGTGCCGCCCATGGCGGTCTGCAGCAGCGGGGCCGACCGCACGGCAATCGTGCAGAGGGCGTCGCCAAGCTGCACGATGGTCTTCTCACGGCTCGAGGGCGCCGCAACTCGCACCAAACCCGAAGGTTTGGCCAGTGGTGCAAGTGCAGGAATTTGTGGCTGCACAACTTGTTCCCCGCTTTGCTTCCTCGCCTCTAGTGGGCGCGTCCGCCGCCGTCCTCCCACGCGCTCTGGCATCAGCGGAGAAGTTGGGGAGACGCGCACGGCGTCTATGGAGGCGTTCTTCTCAAACCTCCTGTTCCATATGTTCCCCAGCTGCTCTTCCAGGAAATCACCCACCCGCCACTCCGCGGACGCCGTCGGTGGCGAAACTGCTTGCACGTTGGTGGCCGTGGGCCCCGCACTGCTAGGCGGTGGGACTTCGTCCTTCTTCTTGCCCTGCCACGGCTCCTCCAACATCGGGCGGCTGTCACCACAGACGGTGTGGTCCAGCATCTCCACCGTCGCCTCCGTCTCGGTGCGGGCGTGGCAGTTCGCGGGGTGCTCAAATTTGACAAAGCGTGGGAGATCTGGGGAGAGTGTTTTCTCCGGCCCCGGCGGCTGCTCTGGCGCGAGCGGTTTGTCACTGGCGGGGAGCGCCAAGGGCGCCAGTTTCGGCACCTTGTCGTCTTTCCTGTTTCCGCTGGACGACGGGCGTGAGGCGGTGGCCGCGCCGGGGCTCGCAAAAAGCACTACCGGGGAGGCCCCGTTTCCATCAGAGTGCGGGCTTCCGGTCAGGCGTTCGGGGCCGCACTGCCGCCGCGCCTCCCCCGCTGCGCCGTCGCCGCCGTCTGTTATGAGGGACAGCCTGGTGCTTTCCCCCTCCGACGAGTCTTTCGTCTCCTTCACTGCAGCGTCGCCTCTGTGGAGGGGCCGGCAGGGCACTATGACGCAGCCGTTGCTACAGCGACGACCCGCAAACATTCGGGCGGAGCTTTTACTGTAAGGCCTTTGGGACGCATGGAAACCGCCGTTGGGAGCCACGCCGCCGTCCATGTTTTTGAGCCACCGCACCGGCCTTCCGAGCACTGGGGGCAGGTAGTCCTCCGGCTCCCCGCTTTCCCGCAGCTGCCTGAGTGCCTTTTGCCGCCCCCAGAGGCACTTTTGCTGCTCTCGCTTCAGCCACTTCAAGGCGGCATGCACGTAGGCGTCGCCGTCGCCGAGTTGCCCGTAGTAAACAAAAAAGTAAGGGCATGGGGAGACGTCGTGGGCCGCGCCCTGCACGCTCACCACAAACGGCAGATGCGGGGAGCCGTCAACTTCGGACAGCTCCCCGCTGTACCGTCGCACCGAGGCCGTCAAGGAGGAGTCCTGGGAGGACAAAACCCCGTCGGGGGCGCCGTGGCAGACGCCGAGGCACCCCTTCCTAAGCCGCTCCCTCAACCTGGGGCTGTCATCCTCCGACACGCGCGCCACGTTGGCGGCGCCGGCCCTCGGAGTCTCGATCAGGTGCACATCACTGAGCCGCTCGTGGGACGCCGCGGAGGGGCTCTGCCCGAGCGACGCCGAGGCCGACGCGGAAAGCCCACGACTCCGCCGGGCGCACTCCGGCAGCACGTCCAGCAGTAGCGCCTGCCTCTCGCCCGGCAGGAGAACCCCGTCGGGGAGGAGGGGCCCGACGGGCGCGAACCACCTCGGGTGGGAGGAGCGGAGGGAGAAGATGACGGCCGCGGCGCCCTCGCCGGCGGAGTTCCACACGGCGACCTCCAAGTTGCCGTTGGGCAAAGGCGTCGCCCAGGCCCGCACGCGCGACATCACCCCAGCCGCAGCCCACTAATCGCAACACACCGTGACCTTCCCTGCAACACCCCGCTAAGGCCCCTCTCCTCGCCCTCTTTGCTCTCTCTCCTCCTCCTCTTTTGGTTGCCTCTTCGTGTACCAATCCCCCAGCGGCTATAGCCGAAAAACGAAAGAGGGCAAAAACAAAAAGAGCAACACAAAAGCGACAAACGGGGAGAGGCGAGGTCAAGGTCACGGCGGCGACGGGGCGGCCGTAGACGCACGCGTGGGCAAATGCCCCACGCCCCACGATCACTGCCACAAAGACACATCAAGCAATACGCACGCAGGCCCACCATTTGGCCGCCACTGCTCCCCTCGCCACCACTCTAATTCCCCCCTCTTTCTTTCCTCCTCTCTCTCCCCCTATATATATATATATATGTATGCCTCTCCATGCCACTTGGCATGCATGCATGCATGCAGAGAGAGAGAGAGAGAGAGAGAGAGGGTGGGGAGGCGCAGAAGCAAAAATGTATGCCTAGCGCCACGCCCAAGGCTCCAAGCAGCCACTCTTGTCTAGAAAAAGAAAAGAAATGAAAACAC